ATTTCTGAGGGAGTGACCCAATAAGGACATGAGCAGCCAGAGGTAAAAAGCTGTGATCATGTACATACTAGAGCGGCAAGGTGAATATTCCACAATGTTATTGCCTTTCTTCAGGAAACATGTCCCGACAGGCTCTCTCTCTGAGAATCCATACGTGCTCCACTGGTAGAGAGGAGCACATGCCTGAAAAAAAAAGAAAAAGATATGTGCAGATCAGTGCATTACTAGTAATCATGATCTTTCTGTAACCTACCATCTGAAACCCAGTTCTTCCAAACAGCATGTCGGAAAATATCTGCTGACATATATTTTTGCAACTTACTTAAAAACTTCTTTATTTTTAGTGCCATATCAGCACTGAAAGACAAGACTAAAGTACTTTAAAATAAAAGTGTCAACAGTTTCTTACAACGTTACAATAAAGACTACATAATTCCAATTTGACATACTGACTTTAATCTGGGATTTCTGACGCATATAAAACTGCTTTGCTAATAAAATATTTTTTACTGTCCCTAAAGCAAAAATGTGATCTGTTGCAGAATAATTTTTTTGAGCTCGGTACAATCTTATTTCAGAGCGAATTTCACACCCTCCACAGACAGACTCACCAGAATATGGTCCCCAGTGGACCGCACAGTGGCCCCAAACCATTGATTTGACTTAAACTCCATTTGCTGTCCATTGGAATTCTTCCTGTCATCTGTGATAGGAACGACAGGGCAAGGGAGAATGGGAAAGGATGAGATATGGAGGGAAGGGGGGATGGAAACATTAGGTCAGTTAATTTGATTCATCAGACTGTACACTGTACACAGACAATTATTGTCACGCCATTCACAGTAAAAACATCTCAGGACACAGTTTTGGCAGTTACTTAACAGATGAATGTTTAAGCTTCTTTCATGCAATAGTGATTGTTAAGTAACAAATATAAACACTACTTTACTGCAGTAAGTGTACGGAAAGAAAAAAAACAAAACAAAAAATAAATAAGTATCTTTCTTGAAAGTCAGTGGAAAATATGGTGGCCCCAAAAAAGTATTCAGACACTTAAAGAACAGTTCACCCAAAAATGAGAACAGATATTTATAGCTTGGCAATCCACTAATTGTATAATTGTATTGTATAACATATGAAATAGCTCAGAGAAAAGGTCTGAAGAGGTTTGCTATTTAAAATAAATAAATAACTGAACTACTACTGAAATACTGAAGTGAATTTGTCATTAACAACTGCTTCCACATTCCATTTGGTGTAGTGTTTAAATAAATAAAGAAAGAAAGAAAAAGCATTTATTTACTAACTGCACTTTAAAAATTATTTTTCAAAGTTGTAAATAAAACAAAGATTATTGCAGTATGTTTTACAAGAAAAAAAACTTCAAATTTTCATACCGTTTCTTTGTTTGTAAAAAGATATTCTAGCAATTTCAGAGTGAAGATTGTTTGTACACCACATTTTTTTCCAATGTTTCCAAATATCATTTGGTTGGATATTATTTATAAATAAACAAATAAATAAATAGTTTTTGAACAAGATATATTACTAGATTATATCATTATATACTCCAAACGTGTTTGCTTACTCTGCCATGGGTGCACAGGATCCATTAAATCTACTCTATACATGGTTGTTTTTCCAATAATTTCTTTAAGGGTGAAGGGAAAACGGAAAAGTACACAGAGAGGAGTAGTTCAGTTGTTGGTGAGAACTCTAAGCATACTGAGTTAATCCAACCGAAGACCTTTTTTGTTTGTCTTGTAGTTCCTCATCTAGCAATCCAGCTTGGCTGGCAGGGGATATCAGGCCAGACTAGTCTATAACCGTCACTGAATGTCAATGAGATCTGGCACAAAAAAAGCTGGTGCCTATATTCACCTCATAGCAATGTAAGGTTGAACTAAGTCCTGTTAGTGTGAAGACTGTGTATCTGCAAACTAGTTAGTAGGCCAGCACATGAATTTTGTGAATGGCAAAAAAAGAAAACATTCTCTGTTGCAGGTCATTGACAAGCTCCCTCTCCTGTTATTTTCCCCCCACCTATTGAAAATATTTAGAGCAAAGCTGATACAGTATATGACCCACTAAATCATTAAAAAGCCACAGGCTACCCAGAAGGTCCTTTAATAACTCTGACAAACCACACCTCTTCCACTAGCATGCAATGTGAAACAACAGACAGACAGAAAAAGCATTAAATAATAGCATGGTGGAGGAGCAAAGACAACACTATGATAGATGAAAACAGAGCTGCGTCTTACCAGTGCTATCAAACTCAATCTGGGTGCATGAGCCACTTTTGTGCCAGGGACAGCTGAAGACAGCACCCCTCTCAGTGACTGTTGACGGGGTTTGATCAGATGTGTTTGCCCTGGGTGCACCAACAAGTATGTTTAATCTGAAATCACAGGGTAAAATGTGTTTTAATGCTTTTGTCCACACACTAAAACACAATGCTTTTTAAAATGCTTTTGTACACACACTAAAACACAATAATACAGCATATACCATCTCGAGTTGATAAATCTAACATTTATTATATAATACAATCAATTATATAATACCACAATTTTTTTTATTGTATTATACATATTATGCATTACTATTAATACATTTTATATATAAATATACATTAATTGTAGTCCGTTACCGTGATGAAAATTGTTGTTAGTAATGTAAACTATGAAATTATTCATTCTAGGTAATGTAACTTTATCACATAGATCTGAATGGGATTATTGTGCACTATATATATATATATGATATTAGTTGTTATTATTATAAACAATATAAACCTATAACAATAATAATTATTAGAAAGTTGATTATTATTGTTATTATTATAAGAATGTTTAATAAATCACATATTACATCATTTAGATTTTCATATTTTTTTAGATTACATTAATAATTTTTAAAAATAATTTATTGTAATAACTATATATATATATATTATTTTCTTTTTTGTGTTATCAACAACATGAAACGCATTAAACATTATATTATGTCAGGGCCAAACTAGGTTAATGAAAGAAATGCAGTGGGTTAGTGAGTTGATGAAAAGCTAATGATTAATTAAATCATAAAAATGTAAAATTAAAATGAATATTTCATTTAAAAACAACTCAAAATAAAACGACTGAAAACTAAAAATATAAATATTTTATTTGCTTTACATAACAGTCCTACAAAAATGCTTACTCTTGCTACAACTTCCCAAAGTGTAAAACTATTTCACAATAGACTGTTCAACATTGTTAAATTTGTTAATAAACGTATCTTTCAGAATAGTCATGCATATAAGAATCATGTAACGTTACCTTTCGCCATAAAAAAAAAAAAAAAATGCAGCAG